CTACCATAAGAATGTTCTATGTATAAGCAAATTGATATTGGATTAGCATTTGTTGGATATGTGTAAAATTATGTGTTGACATATCGACTATCTTTACATGCTTGAAAGAATAAATCAAATCAATCAAAAAGTATATAATGAGGTGTATTAAATGTTACAAAAATGTTTTGTAAGCAGTTTGGACACATACTTGGGACACCTGTGCTTTCTAATTGAATTTAAAAATTGGTCTATTTTGGATGTAAATTAAAGATACATTATGTATATTCTGTTCTACGTGAAGTTAAACAATTAACATGAACTGAACACAACTGAGACGCTTCTCATCCGCCCCCTTTCTGTTTGCACTTTTCTGAGGTCTGAAGTTGCTGAGACTTCATAAATGCTCTTCAATCTATAATATTTAGCAGTGAATGGTGTGACAAATACAAGAGCAGTTTGAACAGTTTCTTCAAGAAAAATGTGTACAAAAAAGAAACCATTACACATGATGGGAAGATTCAGATCGCTTTAATGTGATTGAACATTTTTTCATTAAAAAATAATGAGCCTGACATTTCATAAAACAATACAGTGTCAGCTTGATGACACTGATGACAAAAATTAACACTTGTAATCACCTACCCTTGACCTTTATGTATTTTCCATAATATGTGATACAGAATCTGTTTATTGTCCTTGCAGCTACATTTGCTTTACAGTCTTTCTGGTACTGATCACCAGCAGGTAAGTAGTTTGTCAAGTTTCAGTGTTATACCTTCTCTCTGGAAGATCTAAAATTGAGGCAGCTTCATCATCACCTCTGGTCCATTTTAAACCGGTACATTCCAGCCATATCCCACACCACCATCCATAAAAGCAAGACTATATTAAAAGTAATATAATAGAACTCATTTTAATTTTAATAGTGTTGAGCCTATTAAAGACACTGTTTGGTACATCAGGTTTGTAAGGCACAGTTGCACACTCACCGGTCACTTTATTAGGTACACCTGTACAATTGTATACATTTCAATGCAACACTTCTGCCTTAACATTTGTTTATAAAGCTCAAAGTGTTTCAGATTTTGGTGAAATTCAATTAAATGTTTATCTTTGAGGTCACAGTTAAAGGTGGTGTTGTACTGGACTACATTATATTCGAGGTGTCTATATTTTTGTCCTCCCCAGCTACATACTGTACATGAGAGGGTCAGAATATTAGGAACACCTCTGAATAAGATGTAGTCCAGAATAACACCACCTTTAATTCTGAGCTCAATAATAAACATGTAATTGAATTTATACATTTATACATTTCACCAAAAACAAACACTTTGAGCTTCATAAACAAATGTTAAGTAGGAGTGTTGCATTACATTGCAAACAACTGTACAGGTGTACCTAATAAAGTGGACGGTGAGTGTATGTGTAAGTAGAGTATGAGACCTATAAGATCTCAAGATTGCTGAATAATGAAAGACTGCAACCACTAAATGGTGGTCTTTCTCCAGTTTACTGCCACTTCAGCACTAAATTGACAACAGTCTTTAGCCAAACCTTTACCCTTGTGAGGCCTGAACATTTAATTACCCTTATCCAATGCACAGCTCAAGCAAAATGCATAATGTCCTGGGTGTTTCTAGTGACTTGCATCTGGTTGTGGTCTAAGTTGTCACTGACTTTGAATTATTCCTCTGCACTGTCAGTTCTTTGGTGAGGGTTATGCGCTGTACTCTGTTCCTCGGGGTCCTCTTTCCTTTCATGCATGTCTTCAAGGTGGTTTGAGTTCGTCTTCCTACAGAGTAATCCTCGTTTAGCAGGCTTTACCAAACCTAGGAACAGAGCACCCAGTGCCATGCCGACGGCACAGGAGTAGAAGGCTGATCCGTAGTTCTGAGTCACATCCACCAGTGCACCTGGTGATACAGCAGGAAGCATTAAAGGGGCACTCCAACAATAAAGCAAGTCAAGTTTAGTCCACTCATAATGAGGAGTACTACTCAGCCTGTCAAAACAGTTTTATGACATCTTCTTTGGCACTACAGGGGGGCTAACTGAAGTGAGCTATGGAAAAAGTAGGACTTTGGAGCAAGACCTATAATAAACTGTTCAAGAGTCTGAATTTCTCGTATTCTCTGGCACCTATTTTGGCCACTGAATTTAAATGTTTTTCACAAGTCCCTCAACTTTGTATAAGTGTAAAACTAAAAGGATAGAGTAGCCCTTTAAAACCTTATAAAAATTACTAATCCAATGTCAGTGACTATGATGTCAGTAGGGCCGGAACTAACAATTTCATTATTGATTAATCTGGAAATATTTGTCTTGGTTGACTGTTTAGTCAAATAAACAACAGAAAACTGGAAATTGTCCATGACAATATCCAACAGCACAAGGTGACGTCATTACGTGTCTTTTTCCTCCAATAAACAATATAAAGTCCAGAGGCATTCACTTTACTGTGATGTAAGACCAAGAAAAGCAAAGAAATTCTTACATTTGAGAACCTGAAGTCATCAAATATTTGGCATTTAGTTTGAAAAATGATCTTACTGATTAATCAGTTATTAAAATTGGATAACATATAGATCAGATTGCTATATATCCAGCCTGTGGCTATGCTCAAAGTAAATTCTATAATATTTTGTCTTTCAGCTCCTGCTATACAGTATGTACATTGTAACAGCATATAGTCAATGGAGCGCCCAGATTTACGTAGAAACAAAAAGAATGTGTGATTTTCAATATCAATGTGACCAAGAATACATTTTATCACAAAATCACATTCTTGTTTGATTAGAAGATAAAAGCTGTAGTAAAGTAGAATCATGGGTAGTATTCCTAGTAAACCTGTCACTACTCTTACCTCCAAGTGGGGGCCCAGCCAGCCCAGCAAAGCTATGTATGAACACATAGACACCAGCAGCTGAAGACATCCTCTCTATGCCCACCACGTCATCTTCAGCCAGCATGGGGATGTGGGTGCACGCTAGGGTTCCCATAAAGAAGCCATACAAAACGCAGCACGTGGCCAAGCCATAGAACTCTGTGACCAAAGTAAATCCCACCAGATCCACAGTCATTGTAAGTACACATGCCAGAAGCACAAGAAGCTTCTTCTTCCTGAGCTGCTTCCGTGTCAGGATCCACCCAATGGAGAATCGACCCAAGATTTCAGCCACAGCCATGATGGAGAGCATGGAGGTGGCCTGGTCGCGCTCCACACCTCGACTCACACTCAGCTCAATGATGTAGAGCTGTGGGGCGAAGAAGCCGAGTGTGGCGAACAGTCCAAACAGAGAGTAGAAGATAAAACTGCGCTCCCTGAGGATGGAGAAATCTAGTAGTTTTGAATTATTTGCAGATAGCTTTTCATCAGTTGCTTCATTTTCTTCAGCTTGTGTCCCCGGTTTCTCATTGTCCTTTTTCTCTTCCCCAATTTCAGGTTCCATGATTTCTGCTGCATTGTTTTCCATACTTTTCAGTTCTATTTCTGACCATGCTACTTTGTGCAGTAAAGTCTTCTCATTAACGCTGTTGTTATCTGCGTTCTTCGGGTCTCCATTACTCACACAGCCTCTGGTCAGCTCATTGTCCAGACTGCAGGAGGTATTTTGTGCATGCCACTTCTCATTTGTGATAAGGTCCTCTGTTCTTCCTTCTATATTCTCCTGTGTAGTGAGGGCTTCCCCTTCCTTATAAGATGATCTGCCATTCTCCGCCTTATGGGTCCCTCTTGGTTTGATCACGATTGGCCGAAGCAGAGCACCACAGATGATGACAGTGCTTTGCAAAGTTCCTATCACTGCCATTGTGTGTCGCCAGCCGATATGGTCTCTTAGTGCAGAAAAGGCTGATGGATAACAGGAGGTATTCGGTGAGTGTTCAGTAAAACTACAGCAAATGTGTAGTTTTGGACTAAATAATTTTCTAGAACAGCGGCGCACTACAGTGTTTATCAAACATTACATAAACAGGAGTAAACTGTGTATTTGTTAGGAACTAGTTTCACTTGTTTCTTTCCCAAATATATGCATAAAACAACAATAGACATTTTTGCACTCACCTGGTGCCAGGGCAAACATGGACAGAGACTCTCCAGTGGAAGCCACAGCTGTGACTAGAGCCCGTCGACGGGTGAAGTACTGGGACAGGATGGTCAATGTAGGCAGGAAGGTCAGACAGTAGCCCAGACCTGCACAGGGGAAAATATCCAAGATTTTAAACTCTAATTCGGCTAGAAAAACTTCTAAAAACCAATTCAAATAATACACATTTAGTTTTCAAAGAGGGAGACGAATGAAGAAGACAGTGATTTCATACCTGCAAGTAATCCATAGGTGATGTACATTTGATTGATGGAGCAAGTGAAGCTGGTGGCAATGGTACCCAAAGAAATAAGCAATCCTCCAGTCATAACGACAAGTTGAAACCCAAAGCGGCTAGTCAGCACAGAGGAGAGAGGCCCTGAGGACCCGTGGTGAACAAACTGGTGTTTAGTGTAGACAGTGGTAGAGGAATTCTCACATCATTTCATCAGATAGTCTCTATGTGTTTGATTTTGCAGGGTTGCGCCCACTTGACAGCTTTACTTACCATTGATAGTCATGACAAACACACAGATGGAAACAATCCAGGAGATTCTAGTGTTGGTCTCTCCAAACTCCTCCATCAGGTCCTGGAGGAAAATGCCAAAGCTCTTGATGGTGCCATAGGTGAAAACCTCCACCAAGAAGAAAGCCACTGCCACCAGCCATCCCCAGCCTCCATCAGGGGCCTCTGGGTACACATTGGGCCCCAAGAAACGTGGTCCCTTGACTCCACACAGTGCCATGACTGTACAAAGAAATAACAACTGTAGTTACAACTTTTAAGTAATTAAAATTCGTATACTTTGACCAGTTGACTGACTCCAGGAAAACACGAAATATGGTGGCAAAAACTAGGAATCCGTACATCTATTAAGTCATGTAGTGAGTTTGTTATTGTACGGGTCTTATAAAGCGTGAACGCGCACCGCACGCGGAGTAGCCCACTCCAGCTTAGCTGCTTCACAACGCTGAGACCCGCAGTGAGTAGCAACAAATCAAAGCAGTATTTTTGTTTCAGCATATACATTATATGTTATAAACATATACTGACACATTTATCATCCCAACCAGGCTCAGCGATGCGATTTCGGGCACACCGGTAACTTTTAAGGACAAAAATACCGGGTTGATATCGGGGTTGTTAGCCGCTCCGGTTAAACTTAGCTAACAACAAACTATCATCGGCATTGCGCGCCCCCGCGTGGCCAGCTGTGCTGAAGGGTGAGTCGCTGTGCACCTAAATGCGCTGAGCTGCTCCTCTTCAGTTACTCTGGTAGATATGATGCTGATGTCCCTCCTTCTTTAGAAGTTTGTCTTTTAGCTTCTCTTTGCTATGTTAATTGTATAAACACTGTCAGTGCTATAGCCAAAGACGGTAGGGGGGTATAAAAGCAGCAGGTTCAGCCCCTCTCTGCACTAGGATGGGTCTAATTAATTATTAATGCAGTTGCGGGTGAAGTGGGTACAATTAGATGTTTTGCATCAGCAGCCATGTTTGAAAGTCACTTTACAACCCATCAAATCGACCTTTTGGCTCTGATTCCAGGTCAAAGGCGCTTTAGGATGGGACATGTTGAGCTCTATGGGAGTGAAATGTTGGACAACTTTACAGTTTATTTCTGTCAGCCCTTTGCTTTGGTGTTTTCATTAAGTACAGCAAAACAAACCCATCTGTGACTTTTTCCTCTTCAGCGAACCCAATCAACATCTCAGTCCCATATATTGAAGTTGTCCAAAACTGATATCACTGCTATATTTACAAGCAAGTGAACCCAATCAATATCTCAGTCCCATATATTGAAGTTGTCCTAAAGTGATGAGATCATACATTTGGGATTTGACACGATATATAATAAACCTTTAAATCATGGTGCAGATGATAGTAAGGCGATATACCATCATATTGTCTAGTGTGCACCCTCTCCCATGTGAAGTACTGTTTGGGACAGTGAGTGTCGATTTGCAAACCTGGATGCTTGAACACATTGATTCTGTGCTATCTTTTGCTTCGTTATCTACAGTGCACTTTTTTGACCCAGTGTCCTCCTGAGCCAGAAATCTATTGTGTAATATTCCCCCAGTTTTTGTCTGATGCCTCAGTCGGAAGTGGCTTTCATAAGCTGTACTGGTATTTTAAGCATAACAAACCCCCTGTTAGATATTAGTAAATCAGTCAGATAATTATTAGACATTAATGTGTTAGTAATGCAGTTTAGTAAGAATTAAAGTCGGCTCTAGTCTGCTCTGTTTCAAGGTTGATTCTGGAAAGTGTACATAGAAATTCTTCATTTTGTTATGGCCAGCGGCTCCATGCAGCTGGATCTCTAGATAAGAGATGGAGACGTCGGACTGTCTCCATCTCCTGATGTTTTGTAATGTTTTTGTGTAAGAGGTTAGCCCAAAAACTTATAACTGTATTAGGCTCTGTGTTTCCGGGATCTCCTCTCTCCAGCAGCCAGTGTGTGTGTCTCTGGAGGAAGGAGCCACCCAGGTTGTGTTTTGTAATTTTGCTTGTGGTTTAAATAAAACAGCACTAAAATGAAGAAAGATGGATCCCTTCCTTACTCAGATCTGTCCAATAAAAGAACTGGGGTATAACACCCCTTTATTCAATTTCACACATTTCACGCCAAACACAATCACTACTATGTCCTTACACCTGCTGTAAAGTTACTTACACGATTGCTCTCGGTGGTATTGTGTCACTTTTTAAAAGTAAAATAAAACCTTAATAAACCTCTTAAAATATATGCAGTGAACATTTATTGAGGAGCTTTCAATTTAGCTAGTGAACTCTGACTTTAGATTATTATGTCGAACTGAGGCCAAGAATGAACCCACATGTTCAACTTAATACTTGTCCATTCTGTTTTAATAAACAGTGAGTTTTAATAACTACCAACGTCCATAGTACTTCTGTAACAGCATTATTTCAGTTTTCTTTTTACAAACCTGTGAATTCCCTTTCTCAAGCACATTGTAACCAGGATCAGTGCTCAGTATAAGGTTCAGATACAGTAGGTGCACATTTGGATTTACCCAAGTTCTTCTCATTAAGTTATTACTATCTCTAGGCTGCATATTTTCTTTTTATCTACTTTTTGTGTATTCGCAAACGTACTGCGGTCTCTTGCAAAGTCAACCATCGATTTTTATTTATTTATTTATTTATTTTTGCCTCCTACGTCTCCTCCCCAGCTCCCTACAGGTGAGAGAGGGGGGTGGTGATATTGATTAGAGGGAGCCACGTGGCTCTGTCCTCGGGGGTCTGACGCAATCAGCGGCGGTGCTCCGATGAAGTGTGGTCCCCTGTCGAAAGTGCTACCGAACCCGCCAACCCCGTTGTCTTCGGGAGAACAAACTTTGTCAGAACACCGGCTCATGTGGTCGGTGTGCAGTGGCATGCTCACAGACATTTCGTAAGTACTTATGTGTCGCCTGTTTGAGCAATGTTTTTAGTTCAGGAGGTGTCGAATATATGTGTTACCATATAAAATACTTTACTAAAGCAACTTGAATTATTGCTGTTTTAATATTCGGCTCACCTGTGTGTAGTTAGGTTTCTTCGTTCAACTGTTGCTCCTAGCCGTGTTCGTGATGACCCAGATGTGTTCAGACTCGATTACCCGCGATCGGCGCACAATGCCGTTGAGCTCAGCGCGCGTGCACGTTAACACGCACACCCATGGCAATCCCTTTTAACATGAAATAGGTGGGCAGGATTTAGATGTACCATATATGCAATGTATTTATGACTGGTCAAACCTATAATTTAAGATATCTGCAATTAAATGTTGACTAGTAAGAACATTAGCTTGACTGGGAAAGCTAATTTAACATATCTACAGTTCAATATTAAAGATATTTTAATGTAATTTCGACTAGGCAGAACTCCTTTTTGGATATCCAAAGTCACAGACAACAATGCAGCATTTGAGTATTTTTTTTATGTATAATTATATATATAAATATCTGTAATTACAGTTTGACTAGTCATATCTTAGTTTGAGGCATCCAAAAATAATATGGATATCTTTTAAATCTGCAGAATTAAATATATCTGTAATTGAAATTATGACTAATCAAAATTGCATTCAAAATATCTTTCATTTGAATTTTGACTAGTCAGAATGTACTTACAGATATCTGGAATTTACATTTCAGATAGGCAGAATTGAATTGCAGATATCGTATAGTTTTGACTAGTCATGAATACTTTGTAGATATCTGTAATATGCATTCTGTTGATCTAATAAATGCTAAAAACTGCCTGTTATAACCACCTGACATGAACACCTGGCTCTCACCTGATCTGAGAGCTGATTGGTTGAGATGTTAGATAAACAGCATGATGTTTTATAGAACCGTAGGGTGGCATTGGGGATGGAGAGACATTTGGCAGGGTCTCCCAAAATGGCCCACATCAACACTACCTCCCCAACAGACAAGGGGGGTAAAGAAGGTTTAAGGAGATCTGGTGATGGCCAGTTCTCTCCCCATAGCTGTCTGCAGGCTTCCCACAACCCACTTTAACAGCAAGTTGTTCACACAGGCTGGTGTGTGTGTCAGAATTATTTTGTGAAAATGTAATGCCTAATTAGCATACGTAAAACATTTTCATCTAAAAGCTACAAAAAAAATAATAATAATAATTCCCCACTCGCCCCCCACTTTGGGGCGGTCTTGTATTCCTTCCTTCAAGCTCGGGTCCTCTACCAGAGGCCTGGGAGCTTGAGGGTCCTGCGCAGTATCTTAGCTGTTCCT